GCTCCGTTGCCTCCACTCTCCCCCACTACCCACCCAGACTGGGTGGGGGGAGTGTAGGGGGAGGAGAGAACCACCCTTTTAAAAGCTACCAAAGTTGAGAAGCACTGCCTTAGAGCCTCAGGTTGCCCATCCTGGCACTAAACAGTGGCATGTAAACCTAGCTGTTGTGTGCCCAGGTTCATTGGAGCAGAAACTGGAAAGCCGGTGTCTAAATTAATATCCTGAAACAGACCAGTCTCTATTTCATTAAAAGTAATATCACTTTAAATTATTTCTTAAAGAAAAGTAGGCTATTTAAAACAAATACATAAAAAGAAATAGCTGTCCACGTATAGCATGTATATTTTGGTGGTAGTTAATATATGCTTCTTGGTATGTGAAGACAGTTTTATGTATTACTTTAATTCTGCATGGAAATTACCTCCATGTTGAATAATTTAGTCTAGTTTTGAACTTAGATTTAATAATGGTTAGAAAAGACTAATAGAAACCAAGAATCTAAAGTTAGTAATGAGTAACTTAAGTCTCCCTCATGTCAATCAGTCTGTTATAAGCACAAATCCAGATTAGTCCATTTATTTCAATGCATGAAAGGGGTTATCAGAGAGGTTACCTCGCCATCATTTTACTGCAAATATTGGACTCAACTGAATGTGATTTAAAATAAATAAATAAAAATCCATGATAGAGATGAGTTTCAGAATGATAAATGAAGGCATGAATAAAATTAATCAGTTCAAATTAAATGTACTACAATAAAAAGTTTCTAGATCTCCAAATATGTATATAGGAAATACAAAAAAACAGTATTCGGTACTGTATATATATTTTCCTACAAAGAAATGCTCAAAGGCTAAAGAAAAAAAAACACAGAATAAACATCAGGAAAAATATGGAAAAAAACAGAAAGGACAAAGTGAACTTCTGAAGTGTAAGTTGACCAACATTATATTAGTGACAGAGAAAGTATTTTCTCTGATGGGACCATCTTGATTTTACTTAACTGGAAACAAATGATCAGATTATGAAAGTGTAAAATGTGTATTTTATCATACCAACAGCAGTTCAGGAAGGAATTGGGGCAATTTTTATTTTTTTTAATAGGATGCTTGCCTCCCCTTTCCCCCTTTTTATACCACCTCTGGGTGAACATCGTTCTTTTGGCTTATATTCCTTGTTCAATACCACTGTTGCCCAGTGATGCAAGCAACACCCCTAAATAATGCTGTTTTCTTGTCTGGTAAGCTTACACCTTTGCACATTGCACAAAGGATAATATAGCTTGTTTGGTTTGGGCTTAGCAAACTAAAGCTCAGTGTGCTGGGTGAACTAAGGTGGATGATTCAATAAATTGTGGTCCAACAAACCACATAGCATTTGAACCAGGCCAGTGAGTGACTTGAAATCTCTGTCTCCTAGCATAACTTTCTTTTTCTACTTGGCCATACTAAAAAGGTGCCTTGTTTTGAAAGTGCTGTCTGTTAACCAAAATGGCTTCAGCTGTGGTCAAGCAGAAAAACTGGGATTATACATCATGCTGAGCCTTGATTAGCTAAGTCATTATTTGTTAAACCAGCCGCATTTGGCTTGGTTCATACAATACATTAAGCCGTAAACAATGGCATACCATTCAGTTACTCTGGTGATCTTCTCTTTTTCTGCTTGCTGTGTGCAGTGTTCCCCTTCTGAAACAAGTCTTTAACTTGACTTGCCAATGTTACATTGCTTGATAAGGTAAAAATAAAATGTCCTTAGACTCAGCATTTCCTCCTAATTAATTCATGAACACATCTATGTAGATTTCTTTACAAAATATGGAAGAAGCTTGCCATTGCTTTGTGAGATGGTTTTCAGCTTCCCAGTTTCCTAGAGACCTGCAACTTCCTGCTACTCTGCCATCCAAGGACTAACCAGGTCCAGCCCAGCTCAGCCTTTTGCAGGACAAGCAAGCTCTTTACATTTCTTGGTAGTGAAGTGAAATAGATAAATAGGCTTTAAGGAGCATGATCTCCAAATCTAGTTTTCATAAACACTGTTTATTCACTTAACCAGAACACTTTTAATAGTCCAATGTAAATTCTTGTATGTATGGCTACAGTGTGCTTTTCTTATCAGTTACAAAGACGAGAAGAGTTTTAGAAGAGTTGCAATATACTTTTACAATAAGATTAAAATACCCTGAAGGTGAACTTGATTTCTGGGAATTGCACTGGGACAACCACACAGTTTTCTTGGCAATGTTGAAGAAGTGGTTTGCCATTGTCTTCTGATTTTTTTTTTTTTAAGTTTTCCATCCTAGCCTCAAGTCCTCCAGTACCCTGGTAGTCTCTCATCCAGATACTACAAATACCATGTTCATCTGTTCCTTTCTTACCTAAATTCACCTGACATTTGGATGGGAGGGAAGAAAATTCTCTGGCTACCTTAGAGATAAAAACTCAATTCCCACCTCACAACCTTCTGAAATGACCCCCGCCCACCTAGGGCCAGAGACTATTTACAAACATTCTATAACTCAACATACACATTGTACTCCACGAGTGGTTTTTAAGCCAAAGTAACTGTCTTAGTACAACATGCAAAGCCAAAGCGCATTGTGTGATATGTGTGAATCCAGCAAGAGTGTTAACTTTGGATGCTGATTTAAATCTGTCTCAAGGATGCTCATTTTATTTTCCTTATTGGGTCGTGTTTCCTGAGCTTTTTCTTCCTTTTTCTCTCACTTTTAGGATCCAGAGCAGCCGGTGTTCATTCAGTTCTGGGAAGGAGTCTGCTAAATTGAACACATCCCTTTTCCAATGATCATTTTGGCTCATAAGTGAAGAGAAAACTTACTTTAGAAGATAACAGAAGACGTCAACAAGATGCCCAGTGAGAGAGCTCAGAATAACTGTGGGCCAGAAGCCCAAATTTCTGGGGAGAGCAAGAGCAGGATGCAAAGCCCTCCTTGTAACACTTCACACAGGGCTGTGGCTACGGCTGTGACCTTTGAGGGAGAAGCCAGTACTGAAAAAAGGAAAAAGAGGAGGAAAGAGCCCAGGCCAGAATCAATCATTGTTTATCGGTCAGGGACTGAAAACAAGGTGGAAGAAGAACAGGCAGAGGAGGACGGGGGTGAGAGAAGTTCTGAGGAAGGCTCCAAATTTTTGGGACACACTCTAGGAGATGGTAAATGCCCTGGAATAAATGGTTCAACATTTGTTATGCATGTTTTATTTCCTCCTATGGATGTGAGTTAGGGAAGGAAATGACACCTTTTTGCTCAGTTTTCAAGTGTTGATTTACCAGTACAGTCTACAGTTAGGTACACACATTGTGTTAAGCCATGGTTGTTTGTAGCCACTGTCTGAACAAACTGCAGTGCCTGAATTCATACAAGGCTAAACCATCGTCCATGGTTTGCAAGCCACTATAGCTGTGTTTGCACCTCATGCTTAGCCAAAACAGGTTTCAGACTGTTGTGCAAAGCCAGCCATAGATTCTTTGGTCCCCAAAACTGTCTGTTTCCTAAAAAAACTGGGGGAAACATGGCACATTGTTTTGCTTGTGCATTTTCCATTCAAAATCTATTGAGAAATATTCATTTCCAATTCTGTAAAGTGGCCTCAATATCACTTGGACTGTATTTTTTGAATCCATATTATCATAACAGGTTAGCCTGGACAACAACCTTTTGCAACCTGATGTGAGCCAGTTACTCTGAGACTGCTGTGCCCCAAATTCCCAGCCTGCAGGCTCCTATTTTAGTTGAGTTCAAGCATAATCCCAAATGGGTTTTTTTGGCTTGGTCCAATGTTTGCATTATCTGCCCAAAAAGGGTCTTTTGCTCTCTGTCTACCTTAGTAGGTAGATGAGACCAAGTAATCAACTCCACGGGAAGACTAAAACCACTATTATTGAGATTGGCTAGAATGACAGAATCTTGTACAACCTCCTGCTACTTATAGTTCAGTGAGTTAGGGAGGTTTCTGTCTAAGCTGCTTCCAAATTTTATCTGTCTCCTGTGGACTAAAAATATTTTTCATCCCTCATCGCCCTAGCAACTGATTTGGCATATCTCCATCCAAGTCAACTTCCTTACTCTCTGTACCATCTGAAAAGGATACAAGGGATAAATATTAGGGTTTAGTTTGGAGTAACAAGACAGAAACCTAAGCCAAGAACTTTGCAATCCAATCATTTGTAGACCCTCTTTATTTTCAGTAGCTTCTGCATCTTCATGCTGCATAAGACTGACCTATGAAGTATTTGGTTTGCGTGTTCATTTTAATACTACTACTATTTTATGCAAATGTTATTTTATTTATATAATTTATCAAACCACCTGAAACCAGCTGGATTCTAGGTAGCTTACAATAATTAAGTGTTGAAAACAAGATACAAATCAAAGATTAAATTATGAAGCTGACAATTATAAAATTAAGAAATGATGTCACAAAGGCCCTCCTCAAGAGCCCTGTTTTCACCAGCTTCTGGAAGTCCATGAGGACAGGGCCATATGAATTTCAGGGGGTGAGCTGTTCCACAAGAGGGGGGCTGCTACAGAGAATATTTGCTGTCCTGATAGGTGGGGACCCTCAGCAGGTCCTCCCTAGTTGTCCAGGTATGATGGGCAGAAACTATCTAAGTTTGATTATAATTTAGACTGTGATTCAGGAATCTTGATTTAGACAACACCCCAGAAGGGCCTTCCTGGGGTCGTTCAGCCACTGCTGTTGCTAAGAGAAGCCAAGGGCTTCAGCATCACTGTTGATAGATGCTGCTCAATCATGAGAAATCAGAATGCCAAAAATTCTGGCTTATTATGGGCAAACTAACTCAATAGACCTGCCTCTGACTAAACATATCTAACAGGCAGTGTAGCACTGAACAGTTATGTACCCTCCCTCAGCGAAGTAGAGACATGAGGTTAACACAGAATGAATCCAAAGCCTTGAATGAGAAGCACAATTCTCCACCACATTGGTTGAAGTGCCAAGCCACGTTACTATGTGTTCTGGCTTCTCTGTGCCATGCAGTTAAGTTCCACTGCTGTTTGTTCGGATTTTTTTCAGTCCAGTTTTGTATATTTGTCAGCGCCTTACATTATTCTATAACTGAAGCTTATGTTAATTTTCTTACACAGTCTCCTAATTAAAAGGAGTTGAAAATGCAGTTCTATTTTTTAAAACAACATATAAAAAACTATAACCTTTGAGGGACTAAACTAAGATAAATTCATTGTTTTAAACAAAACCTTTTCTTCCTGCTAATCAGTTCTCTTTCATCACTATTTGGATTGATTCCTCCCCCTCTTCCTTCCAATTTGTTGTTTTCTTTTACCATTTTTTAAGCCAACTTTCCTCATCCTGGTGACCTCCAACTGTGATGGACAACAGCTCTATCATACATAGCATCATGACCATCATACCAAGCTAGCATAATGACATGACATGGTTTAGTGGCTTGATACATGTCCCTGGATCAACTTTCCAGGTATGGATGTGACTGAAGTTATTGTAGTAAGCCCCAATTTACCCCATGCCAAGGAAGGATTTTTTGAATCCATATTATCATAACAAGGTAACCTGGGCAACAACCTTTTGCAAACTGATGTGAACCAGTTACTTTAAGACTGCAGTGCCCCAAATTCCCAGCCTGCAGGGTCATATTTTAGTTGACTTCAAGTATAATCCTAAACTGGGATTTTTTATCCATGGTCTGTTGAACTATCTAGAATGGTGTGCTTCACACAGATTGCTAAGCCATGACAGGCAGGTTCACACATCATGTTATGCCAGAAAAACATAACCTGGAAAATGCCAGGTTAGAGAAAGCTGCATAAAATGCAGCAGAATTTCTTGCAAAACAGCTAATCTCTGCTTTGCCTTTTGTCTTGTACTGATCTAGCTCTTCTGTGTTCCCAGGTTCATGGGCTATGCCTTTAGATAGCAGGTATGTTACTTTAACCGGAACCATCACAAGAGGAAAGAAGAAAGGGCAGATGGTAGACATCCATGTTACACTCACCGATAAAGAGCTGCAAGAACTGGCTCGGTCAAAGGAGCTTCCAAAAACAGAAATGCCTGAAGGAAAAAAGGCTTGTGAAGTTGGGATGGATAAAGGCCCCCATGTTCTTCTCTGGAGCCTTGCCTGCCTCCCTATTATCTTCATTATGTCCTTTGTTGTTTCCTTTTACTACGGGACCATTACTTGGTACAATGTCTTCTTGGTGTACAATGAAGAGAGGACCTTTTGGCACAAGATCACCTTCTGCCCATTTCTAATTATCTTCTATCCTATCATCATCATGGTAGTTTCTTTCTCTTTGGGCATTTATGCAGCAATAACTCAAGTCTCTTGGGCCTTTGGAGACTGGTGGCATGCGGTGAGGGATATGGAAAAAGGATTTTGTGGCTGGCTCTGCAGCAAGATAGGCCTGGAAGATTGTTCTCCATATAGCATTGTTGAGTTGCTAGATTCAGACAATGTCTCAGGTAGTCTGTCAGCCAAAGGCTCGGCGCAGGGTGAAGAGGTTTCGGCTGTCTGAGTCTCTGCATTAAGGGTCTGCCTCTTATGAATATACATAAACTGATTTTTTTGAAGCATGTACAAAAACCCTGATGCCAACTCAAGCATTCAGAAACAAGACCACACAAGGGATCGCCGTTTCTGCATAGTATGTCACCATGAAATACTTGTTTCCATTTCTGTGGAAAACGATATTTTCGTAGAAAGCTGGTGTGATCTGGAGAAGGATTCTAGCCTGGCTACATTCTATGATTTGCTAATATTTAACATGATGAGGTTTTATACCACTTCAGGTGGCAAGGAAGAGATGCATGTTTGATGCCTGGAAAATCTCTCTGCACATTTAAAAATTAAGAGTAATTGAGAAGGCTGAATTGAAGCCTTTTTTCTGACCAGCTTATTTCCTGGATGCAAGGATTTTTATGAGATCACATATTTAATTCCAGACTCCTACATGGAGTGAAATAGTAGCAACCCATTTACTACTGGATTCAGCAGTCTGTATGAACTAAGGGATCATGAAATACCAGTATGCTGGTGGAAAAGCTCCCGTTCCTTGTCAGGATGTATATGGTTAGTTGGTTTATGAGATTAGCTAGTCTGATCAATTTCTGTTGGATACTATTGAATCACATTGTACAGGGATACCAGAGTTGGGATGCAAAATTTGGACAACCATTGGATAGCAATAAAGGGTTACAGAAAAATATGTTTCTTTGCTGCCATCTAGTGGTTTTCTGCATTTTTGCAACCCAATCTTATTGCCATTGCTTCTGTGGGAGGAGAGGAGTACAAAGGGAAAATGGGTCCCAAAGTTTGCTGATTTTTCAAAATAAATCTTCTAGTGTGGATATTCTGGTCCATCTTTTAAATGATGGCTGACAGATGCTGATGGATGAAATGCATTTAAAAGAGAGTGATTCCCATAGTGCAAGAACCCATAGCTTGAGTCAGCAATTAGAATCACAAATATGATTTTCACAAAAGCAGCCAGGAACCTGAATGCTGTAACGTATACAAAGATGTGTGGAATCTACTCCCCATTTTATCCAGCCTCTTCCAATTTCAATTGCCAATTGAATTTTAAGGCAACATACTGTTAGTTAGGGGATGTCAGCTATTGCATCTGATTTAATATGCGGGCAGAAAGCCAAGGTGAATTTAAATTAAAGCAATAATTAATTAAAGTAAAATACCTAGACGAAATCAATGCAATGTACTTGGGATGACACAGTGTCCAGAACTGGAATCCCCAACATATGAAGTCTCCAAAGGGAGGCTTCTGATGCTCATCAAGCTTTCTGCCCATAGGTAGCAGTTCTGAAGCTCACCAAACTTTTTGCCCACCGGATTTTTAAAAAATGATTTGATTAAAAAAAATGAGACGCTGGCTACAAAATAAAATGTCATCTTGCTTTATCATCTACATTTCTGAAAGCCCTATGGGTTCCAAATGGGGCCTATATACTAATCAAAACAATGGGCAGCTATAGTCCGTTGCTTACTCTGAAAGTACACCCACCTACCCAAAACAAAAAGAGAGCCACCTGCAGGGGCAGAGACAAAAAAAATGGTAGGTGGGATTTTGGTATATCAGTAACTAATTTATCCCCTACGGTAGTGTTGTCCAAACTTGGCCACTTTAAGATGAGTGGACTTCAACTCCCAGAATTCCCCAGCAAGCATGGCTGGCTG